AAATCTGCAGTGAAACAGATGTCTGAGCGTTTCCTGTTACATTGAGCTGGTTCTTGCCGTACCAGGAAAAGCCTCTACCTCCATCTCAGAGTAGCACTCTGCACACGGCTCTGACAGAAATGCTCAGACATTGCTGGAGCCCCCAGCTGCATCTCTGTCACTTCAAGCGTCCGCTGGAACATCACACGGACATTGGGTGCCTCCCCTGTGGGCTCGTGGCAGTCCTTGTTGGACTGGATGGGGCAGAGCAGTTGGCAGCTGTGAAGACATATATCACACAGTGAATACCAGAACATATATCTGAGGTCCCACAGCACAAAGACCTCGTGGGACCGAGGTGGACTGAGTGGATTCCAACTAACCAATGGAAAAGGAGAAGCGTGCATGTGTGATGTGGTACCCATGGCTACACTTCTATTGCTCTGATGTCACAGTTAAGGTTGTGTTCTGCTTATGCTCATGTAAAAAATAAATGCATTTGCCTCAAACAGTCGCTGCATACTTTCAGAGAAATTAGCTGAGGTGTTTGAGAAACAAAAAATCAGCTATTTATTTTCTAAATTCTAAGCCAGTGGTTTCCAACCTTTTTTCATTTGTGGACCCCTAAAAAAATTCAAATAGAGGTGTGGACCCCTTTGAATTGGGAATTCACATACTTTTGATTGATAATAGTCATATTTTGCAGACCCCTTAGACATAGTCTGTGGATCCCAAGGGTCCACAGGCTGAAAACCACTGTTCTAATCCATTCAAAATTAGCCCCCAAAATGTCTTATTCTAAGTCCCCTGGTTTTTTAATTCCACTAATTTAAAAAACGCAAACTGTGGAAAGTCAGAAAGTAAGTCCTTGGTGTGCTGCTTGGAGTTATATCATTATTTTATTAGTTAAAACAGTAAAAAATGTTGAATGTTCTTAATCACAACTGAATCACTAAATGTCATGGTGGCCTGATAGGGGACAAGATGCACGCTGGCCCAGAATCTCTCCAGCATAACAGAAGAGATGTTCTTCTTGTCATAGAACCAGGATATCTTCCTAAAATGGTTTCATGACAGTCAGGACCTTTGACAAAGTGGCTGTTCTTGAAGACCAGACCCTATTTGAAACTGTTCAGGGGCTCCTGATGTAGCTGAAGATTTTAATGAAGAACAAGATCTGGGATAGTCCATTTGTTTAACAAAGATCTTCCCGTCTCTTGAAAAAGCCAATGCTATGTCAAAGATTGTGTTCACCTGGTTATAATGTCTGGCTGATTCAGGCTATGAGAGCCAGCTGAACAGATTAATGGAGATGAGGATCTTTGACCTGGCAGTGGCACTTTTCATGCAGAACAGAGGGAATGCGCTCTCTAGGCTAGGGAATGCAAAAGCCTAGTGTTGTGTGAGAGATCAGATTGCTCTCCAAAGCCTAAAACCTAAAATGCCAGGAAATTCAAAATGAAGGCTTGAAACAGTACATAACCTATGTTCCTACACCCACAGATGCCCATCACTCTTAATACAACCTTCATCTACTCCAAAGAGTGCACAATATCCTTAACTCTGCCTAGGTGCGATACCAGTCTTCCAGCATCTCTTTCTGCATAGTGCCAGAAAGAGCACCGGTGTGCTGGAGGTCTCTGGGCTGTAATGGAAGTGCCTGACATGGAGAGTACAATCTGAGTGCTCCAGTTTTTGGATAGCCAGTCTGAGACAGGTCTGATTTATATAAATCTTCATTATCCACAAGTTCTTGTAACACTGAAACCTGAGGTTGCTCCACTGCCCTAAGAATCAATCATCCTTCTGGTGTTTCAGTTACACCCCCAAAAATGGAGGCAACCCAGATTCACATCCGCTGGTGAACATGTACCTCTCAGTAATGTGCCCAGGGTCAGTGGCAGAGCTGGGGTTACAACATGGGGCTAAAGCCAGCTGGCTACTGGGAAAACAGGGTAGTGACTTTGGAAGGGAATTCCGTTTGGCCACATCCACCTCTTTACTGGGCACGGAGTCCAAAGTTGTTTCTTGGCCATTTTGTATTTGAGACCCATCACTAAAAGGGGAATTTCAGGCATGTTGCAGATAGTTGCTTAATCACAGAAAAAATCAATTCTGTCATGAGGCTCACTCTCTTTAGGGCAGCAGAGGAAGCAGATGATAAGGGTTAGGTCTCCCAGTCAGAGAGCAGAGCCCTTCCCTTACAGCACAGGTCAAGGGGTCTCAGACTCTCTGGATCACAGTTTTTATATAAAGATTGTCCCCTGGTCACCAACCCTCGCATTCATTATTTCATACCTCACCTCCCTCGACACCACAGCTCAGCAGTCCCCCGCCCCTCCCATCCATGCTCAGAGTTGACCTTCACTCTCGATGCCATGGCCCTCGCTTCCATTCCTGCTCATGACTTTTCCAACCACCTCCCTTCCCACTGACAATAGCAGAACACCCCTGTGCCAACTGCTTATGCAGAAGAGGGATATCAGGAAGGTGCTGAGTGGATCATTGCTCTTTGTGTTGCTATGAGTGGTTGGAAGAAAGAAGGAAAAGACACCCTCTGTGCCGCACAGCTTGAGAGTCTCTGGCTTAGGGAAACAGGTCCCTAATAGGTAATAACAAATCAGCTGTTGATCCGTTTTGGAGCACGGGCTAAGATTTGTTCATAAAAACTAATGATTGAACAACAGATTAATTCCTTCAAAGCACAATGTGCGTGTGGACAAGTCACCAGCTGATAATACAGTTTGCAGTGACCAACTGGAGCATCTCCTTATAGGGCTTTTTCACTACCACCCACAAGCTCAGCCTGCTGGACCCCTCCACAGTCTTGGCAAAAGCCTAGGCAATTATAGACAACAAGTGCCATCTAAGAAGCCAGAGGACGGGAAGCAAACTGCAAAGTGGAGACTTTGCTGATATTAGGCATGGTGCTCTCCAGGGGTGTCTGCTTGCAAGAGAACTGAGGACCAGAAATCAACCAGGTCTGCTGGCAAGAGAACCTGCAAGAGAACAGGACTATGGTGTTTCACCCTCTTTGGGCAAAGGAGGGTTGTGGAAGTTTGAATGCACTCATGGCAGGCTCAGTGCATTCACAGGCATCCCAGGTAACTTGAGGGGGTTGCTTGGGGCTTTTGGCCACCTGAGGCCACTGTGGCAAACTAAATGGAATAGAAAACTACATGACAGGCAGGTTAGAAGATGCCAGGACATGATTATTAACTGGCTTTGACCTTCCCCCTCCTCAAGTGGTAAACAACAGAAGCCAGCCTCTTCTGTATTTAGACATTAGAGTCTGTAGGGGGAGGTCAAGATGGGTTGGATCCAGACATCAGACTCAAGTATTTGTGTTACTGGACTGAGGCCTGGATTTCACTGACGCAAAGGGAACGGTTATGTTTGTTCCTTAGTAAGACTACATGTTCACGCTAGGGTGGAGGGTTAGGGCAACACTAGATGCTAGTGCTACAAGCCAGCTCTACGAACAAAGACTGCCCAGTGACCCAAGGGGCGTATGGAGGCACCAGGACATGTTGTTGGATGCTTCCTTTTGGACTGTTTGCAATCCCCTGTCCCCAACACACACACACACACACACACACACACACACACACACACACACACACACACACACTATTAATTATTCACAGTCGCACAGAAATAAATAAGTGCTTTTTTCCTGTAAAAGCCCCTTTCCTCCTTGGGGGTTTGAGTTCCATCTTTGTTGCATGTTTCATTATGACACAAATAATCACTATCAACATTCACAAGCTGCACAAAGGAAACCCCACTTGTGTACAGACCATGTGCTGGGAAGGCAGGCAGTACCAGCACATGGATGTGAGACAAGTCACTTACATTCTCCTGCACTTACAGGGTGTCCAGGCAGCTAGTCATCCTTGCCTCTTTTAAATATTGATTTCTTCTCTTTGTCACTCTTGCTCTCTCCCCTTGCCCTCCCACCCTGTCTCCAGAGCCAGAACTGGGAACACTAGGAAGGTGAGAATGGCTTAGGGGAGGGCTGTGTAAAAAGGTGGATCAGCCACCACTTGACCCTGCCCTCCCGCTGTATCCTGCTGGTTGGCCAGAGAGCAAGTCCAGCTCTCTCCGACATGCCATGGAAAGAGGTGGACAGATGCAGGTGCCTCTTGGTACACCATGGCCACAGAAACAGGGGTTCAGTCGTGCCCCAACCCTGAGCAAATGCAACTGCTAAAATCCAGGCATTGGATCTGGGTTGTTTTTTTTTTGTTGGTTTTGTACGTGTGTGGCAATGCTCTGTTGAGATGCTCAGAACCCAGGGATCTTATCTGTGGTTGGAGTAAGAGCATTTACTGCTCCTTCTTTCCCGTGTCTGATGTAAAGGCAGAGCAGCAACTAGACCTTTACATGTAGGCAGCTGAGCCAAGCGAGGGCAGCAGGGGCAGCACAGTATCCTGCATTTGATGAAGGGGCTGGGGGGAGGGTGCAGGTGTGTGTGTGGATGTGTCAGCGTGTGCAGGTATGCGAGTGCGTGTGCAGGTGGGTGGGTGTAGGTGCGAGCGGGTGAGGCTCTGCCCGGGGGCCGCAACCTCCGCCTCCCGAGCCGGCCCCGGGCGCCCCCGCT